AAGTTCCAGGTATAGAATTTTATGCTCGTTATGTGGATGACATATTAATTATTTTTGATTCCTGTATGGTAACACCTCATGAAATAGAAGATTATGCGAATACCTTACAACCCAATATAAAGTTTACTAGTGAATTGGAACAGAATCAGGAAATAAACTATTTGGATGTGACTATTAAGCGTGAGAAAACGCAATTGGTGTTCCGTAAGTATGAAAAATTGTGTAATACAGAAAAAACAATTAGTTATAAATCTTATTGCCCTATAGAAACTAAGAGAAACGTTTTTACCATGGAATTGAGGAAAATACTAAACAGAACAACACTCTATGAAGATATAAATAAAGAAATTAAACAATTATTTAGAAAATATTTATTGAATGATTACCCGAAGAATAAAATTTGTAAGTGGTATAATTCTTTTATAAATTACAGATATAATGTTAAAAATTGTATAGATAATAACATTTATGTAAAAATGCCTTATATATATAGTTTTTATGAACGATATAAACCTTTATTTAAAAAGTCTTCTGTATGTGTAGTGGCCAAGCAGGAAAATAAAATGTCGAATGTTATTAATATTATAAATACTAAAGGTCGAAAAACAGTAAGAAATCAGCTTGACGTCGCAGGAGTGGTCTACAAGGTATCATGTGATTGTTTACAAGCGAAATCATATGTTGGAGAAACGGGACGGAAGCTCGAGATACGCCTAAAAGAACACGAGGCAGCGATTCGTCTAAAAAGACAAGAGTCACCATGGTATCAACATTGTGTTAATTATAATTGTAAAATTAATAGAGACTCTGTAAGAATATTGTATAAAATGGAAAATTTGTTTAAAAGACGTGTGGTAGAACATCTTTGTATAATAGAACATGCAAATTTGTTGAATCAGAATGTCGGTCTTAACGTTGATGCATGCTGGGAAAAATTTATTTGTATAAAAGGAAATAAGTGTCTGGTTGTTGGATAATCCACTGATGAGGCTGTAAAGGCGAAATGCATTTGGAACGTGATTTGAAAACTATGAAAATAAAAGAATTAACATTGGTTAAAGTAAAGTATCTTTGTTGATTACTATTTGTCCGCTAATATAAATCACTCGAAGTCGGTCTAGGAAAGAGTGTTTTAATTTACTCGTCTATTTTTAGAAATTATATTTTTAGGAAAAATTTAATTATTAACAGCATACTAAACATTAACGTATATTAACGATTTCATAAATATCTTATATTTTCTTAAGAATAAAAGAAAAACATTAAACATATACTTAATATTAAAAATTCAACTATACCATAAACTCTAACTCATTACTTTTAATTAAAATCTTTTAAATATTCAAATTACTATTACGTTTACTTACACTTATCTACAAAAGCTGCTATGTGTTTATCTTTTCTCATATATTCATTATTGCATTCATCATATAATGCAAATAAAGCATCCATTAACCCATCTCTGGATATTATATGACGATTTGTAACATTTCCTTTAAGTCTTTCAAAGAATAATTGATTTAATTTAATTAATCGACTAGAAATCGACTCTCTCTGTTCTTCCATGTTTATATATCTGAAAAATAAATAACTCTAAATTTAATATCAAAAATTAAAAACAATTTACATATTAAAATTTTAAAGATTAAATATTTTAATTTTTGATAAAATCAATATATATATATACAATGGAAACATTAAAGTTATTTCATCTGAATACTTTGAAATTAGATTATTTTAAAATCACAATTCAAAGATAATTTCTAACTTTGCTTAACCTATTTTCATCAAACTGTTGATTGCTGAATTACTTAATCATTTTTTTGATTGTTTATTTTTAGAAATATCCCATTTATATACAGTTTTTATTTTTGTCTTCTCAAAACACATCTTTCTGATCATAGACACTCACCTAGATAGTAATCTACGTTAAAAATTGACATTCATCTATCTGTGCCAAATATAGAATTCAAATTTATTTCTATCAATAAATGCATTAAAATTCATCAAATCAAATTATTAGCTATAACTACAATAAATAAAAATATTTTATTAACAATTCATTTTTCAGGATATAATATAAGTTAGATCCATAGCTTGAGGTAAGATGCAATCCAGGTCATAAAAGGAAACAGCGGTGGATGTAAAAATATGCACATTTACAAGTGAGATGGGTCCCTGCAACCTTTAGGTCACCAAAAAAGCTGAGTTTTCCTTGCAACTTTTTAAAGGTCTGTGATTTGATAATTAATAAAAGTTTAAATAGGGCTCATTTCCTTCTTACTATAGAATGCAGTTGAGGATATTTGAGGATAAGCTGATTTTAATAGCAAAAAACAATTTTGTTTTTATTAGTTTCTATTAAACTGTAGTTCCAGAGATGTAATAAAGGACAAAATTGTGAAGACATTTTAGTGTTTCTTCTAAATTTTGTGAATTATTTTTATTTTGAAAAAGTTTACTATTGTTCCAGGTTGTTTGATGTTTGTATTTTCTACGAAATCTCCACTAATGACAGAGTTACCATCCAATACAGGATATATGGTATTCTGTTGAGTCATCAATGGTAATGGTATCTTTGGACCTAACAGAGACCCAAGGACATCATCGTCTGCATCTAACTAAACTGCTGTTAGTTAGCAAACAGAGAAAATTCCTTTATTAGGCTCATTTACATGGTCCAAGTCACACAAATGAGTGTTCACATTTTTAATTACTTTTATGCTAATTGACTGCCTTTTTAATAAAAAATATGGAACAATTTGCATGGCATATGGAACTACAGAACAAAGTACTAAATATAACGACAGGACGTATGGCAACTCTAACTACAGGTGTGACTATGCAGATGCAAATTTAGTAGTGAGCAAGAGGTTGACAGTGATCTCGCAAAGAAAAATGCGCACAAGCGAGAAGCCTTNCTGGAACAAAATAAATATTGAAAGTTGTTTATTGAGCTACTGAAAAAAAAAAAAAAACGGACAAACCGTAATTATTTACTAGTAGAGAGTAGGGTATGTCCACAAATTAGAATAGCCCATACGTTTTTGTGAATAGTCAAGGTCATTACCCGAATGCCCAAATCAGTGTGAATGTTTGCAACAATCGCAAGACAGTGCTGCCAAATGTAAGAAAATAAAAAAATAAAAAATGTATACAGAATAGGACATAATACTATATAGTGTATACAGAATTATCGAGATGATGATTGCTGATCTAAACTAAATTCATAGGCCATTGATAGTTTGGGGGTCATCTTATAGGACAGATATATGCTAACACTATAAAACTGACGAAATCTGAATGTTGTCTTATCTGCAGAAATATACAGTAAATAAGTGTTCAAGTATATAAGATATGTACATATTTTCTGTTTACAGGCTATAAGTAGAAGATAAAGTTAATATCATTTGTATGAACAATAAAGTTTTATAACACTCTAGAATGGTTCAACAATCCATAACAGATAAAAATAGACCATTTCAAATTTAAATTACTAAATAAAACTTATAAAAACTTATATTTTTACAGAGCTTTCTGTATTTAAACATATAAAATCTGATATTTATCAAACTATTTCAAATGAATGATTTTATAATTGGACATTCACGTGGTCATCATTTAACATATGGTGACTAGTGAAATCCACCATCTTGATATTAGAAGTGCCCTTTTTAATAATTATAATAAAACTTTTATTATTCAAAATTAAAACACATTTAGGATTTCAAGTAGGATTTTGGTAAAATTAAATTACATCATTATAAGTGACATTTTGATACTTTATTTAATAGTAGAAATGGATAAATTAAAAATGTTTAGTTTTATAAAAGTTAAAGTCAATATCATTAGTACAGTAGAGTGTCGTTTATCTGAATCAATTAGGGACTGGAATTGTTCGGATAACTTATTTTTCAGATAACCGATTATGTACGAAAAAATATATTAACCTATCACATGTTAAAATTTTTCTCCGTTGCATGTCACTTCGCATTGAATTGCCGTCAATATTAAGCCTAACAAAAATGTTTATAATAATAATCGTTGCTTTTGTATCATTAAAAATTATTTCTTTATTTTGTACAAACAAAATAAATATATTGAAAAATATAAAAACAAAAAGAAATTATACTCTAGAAGTTAATCTAGTATCAAAAATGTTTGATTCAGCATGAACATATTCTTGTTCCTTGTTGTTCATAGAGGCACTCCTCTATGAACAACAAGGAACAAGAATGTGTATTGCTATTCACTTTTACTCTGAAAGAAAATAGAGACAGGAGATAGATCACAAGGCGACAGAAGAGCTGGTCTTATAGAAGACAGCCAGAAGAGAGACGAACGGAGATAGAATGCCTTAAAGGAGGACTTTTATGGGAAGCTGGCCCCTATTTAGGTGTCATCTGCAAGGAGAAAACCCGGAAAACTCCAAGCTGCTAGCCTGTCCAATCGAAACACAAACCCCCAACCAAACTCCCAGTGTTTAGGGTCTGGTAACTACTGCTATGAGTGGAGATGGAGTCCACTCAGCTACCAACACACGTTCTGACAGTCTTCAGAAAAACACCACACACAAAAATGCCAGTGCTGCCAGCTAAAACACACACACCAACAAAAAAAATATTGGAGTAGCCCAAGACATAGCCAAAGGTTGCAGCACCATAGCACTAGCAAAAATTTAAATTTGCTGACTGGAACACTTTCGGCTAACCAGCTTTCAGATAAACGACGCTCTACTGTATTAACAATATTTTCTACTTATAGCCTATTAACAGAAAATATGTACCTGTCTTATATGTGATTTTCAAATTAGTCTAGGATAAATAAATTAATTGCTTTATTTGGTAAAAATATATGGTCAGAATCATTACAAAAAAATCCTTAAAAAGATTCTTCTAAGACAATATATACAAATGTGTCTTTATTCCAATCCAGTCTTTTCAAATGTATATTTGAGGAATTAACAATTTCTGCTTATGTATTGTCTTAGAAGAATCTTTTTAAGGATTTTTTTGTAATGATTCTGACCATATATTTTTACCAAATAAAGCAATTAATTTATTTATCCTAGACTAATTTGAAAATCACATATAAGACAGGTACATATTTTCTGTTAATAGGCTATAAGTAGAAAATATTGTTAATACAGTAGAGCGTCGTTTATCTGAAAGCTGGTTAGCCGAAAGTGTTCCAGTCAGCAAATTTAAATTTTTGCTAGTGCTATGGTGCTGCAACCTTTGGCTATGTCTTGGGCTACTCCAATATTTTTTTTGTTGGTGTGTGTGTTTTAGCTGGCAGCACTGGCATTTTTGTGTGTGGTGTTTTTCTGAAGACTGTCAGAACGTGTGTTGGTAGCTGAGTGGACTCCATCTCCACTCATAGCAGTAGTTACCAGACCCTAAACACTGGGAGTTTGGTTGGGGGTTTGTGTTTCGATTGGACAGGCTAGCAGCTTGGAGTTTTCCGGGTTTTCTCCTTGCAGATGACACCTAAATAGGGGCCAGCTTCCCATAAAAGTCCTCCTTTAAGGCATTCTATCTCCGTTCGTCTCTCTTCTGGCTGTCTTCTATAAGACCAGCTCTTCTGTCGCCTTGTGATCTATCTCCTGTCTCTATTTTCTTTCAGAGTAAAAGTGAATAGCAATACACATTCTTGTTCCTTGTTGTTCATAGAGGAGTGCCTCTATGAACAACAAGGAACAAGAATATGTTCATGCTGAATCAAACATTTTTGATACTAGATTAACTTCTAGAGTATAATTTCTTTTTGTTTTTATATTTTTCAATATATTTATTTTGTTTGTACAAAATAAAGAAATAATTTTTAACGATACAATAG